TCCTCGTCAGACCGTGTGTGTGTGAAGAGATGTAGAATAGAGCAGCTTCGCTCTTATCAACGTTGATTTTTAGGCTGTGCTCGGCAGCCCATGTGGCCACAAGAGACAAGAGCGGTCGCATTGCCGCAGCACAGGCATGGATGTCCGCACCTGAGGCAACAAGTGTGTGTTCGTCAGCGTACATGAAAGCGGAGGTAGAATAGATGCTGCCCAGGCGGCGCAGCAGATCATCCACACAGTAGAGGAAGAGTTGGGGTCCCGGGACGCCGCCTTGCAGTACTCCAGCTGAGGCGAGTTGTTTCCGGGAGTGCTGTTCGCGAGTGCATACCCTAACATAGCGGCCCCGCAGGTAGTTGTGCAGCCAGTGTTTGGTTCGAGGCCAAGGCGCGGAAGTCTGTCAAGCATGCAGAATAAATTCCCATGGTCAGTGGTGTCGAACGCAGTCGGAAAATCAATCAAAACTACGAGCGAGCGATGGCGACGAGGGTGTCGTGTGGGAGCGTCGTCTCCAGGGCGCTCATACTCCACAATGCCAAACTCATTCAATCCACGAGTAATTTATCGATAAGAAGTGCCACCACGTCCGACGTAGAACGCGAAGGTGTAAATCCGAAATTGACGTGGGTGGTGCGGCAATAACGCTGACAGACGGCGGTGAATCATTCCTTCGGTTAACTTTGGTAAAACAGAGAGTGGCGTGATAGGTCTGTGACTCTCTGGACGGCATGGATCCTTCCCAGGCTTGGGGATAGGAATAGCGTCTCCCATTTTCCAGGAGCCACGCAGGCTGCCATTTGCGAAGGAGTTGTGGATCATCGTTCTAAGTGTGCCACGCGCGACGGGCCCGAGACGGTGCAGGAATTCATTCAACATGTCGTCGGGGCCAGGGGCTAAGCCAAGCAAAGAGTCACGGATGGCCACGTCAAGTTCATACGGCGGGAAAGGCCGATCCATTTCCCAGCCACCAGGAACCAAAGGAGTGCAGCGAGCAGCAGCAGCAGTATAAGGCGGTATGGCACGTGAAACCGCACAAAATGACGGACAAGCAGATTTGCCTGTTGCCGAGGCAGAGCGCATACGCGGCCAAGATCAGTGCGGAGCACAACCGATTCCAGAGGATGAGGGTGCGGCGCCGCCATGCCGTGAAGATATCGCCAGCTCGGGCTGGGTGAGGCTCCACGTCTTTTCGCGCGGGCTTCCAAAAGCACAGCGAAGCAACGGCGTAAGGCTTGATTTCGTTCCTCCTTTTTTCGGGTACATTCGGCTCAAAGTATGCTGTCTCCAGGTGAGGCAATGTGTGTGCTTCGTATGCTGCTTCCGCGGCGGACTCGGCTTGTTCCATTTCGTGTGTCCATGTCTTTTTTGGAGCTGTCACGGCCGCCGCGCGGGATTTGGCGCTCAGCTGCTCGTAAGATGCCTCCGCAAAGATCCAACCATGTGGACGCGGTGGCAAGGAGGGTTTCACACAACGATGTAAAAGCAGGCCAGTCCGCTTTACGCAGGGCAAAGGTGGCTTTCTTCCGTCAAGGCAGCGTGTTTGCTAGTCGTGGAGTGCCATCGTCCATCTCTACCAAGTAAGATATTCAGCAGTGGTCCGAGTTTATGTAAGGGGCGAATGTCCAGTGGGAGATGCGTAGGGCGCAATACGCAGTCACGTCAGGGGACGAGGCATTACGATGTGTGATCCGTGTTGCCTGCGCCGGGTCATTTGCCAGCCCAAAATCCATATCGATTAGAACAGCGGCGAAATTATCACCTCCAGTCGTTGATGGTATATGTGACTGTACCAGAGTTCACGATGTAAATTCAGGTCACCCGCGATAATCTCTTCGGGCCCAAGCAACAAACGATATTGATAGATGCGGATTATTGACCAATTGTTGTGTGAGGGTTGAAGAGATTCGCCACGCAAATGCTGGGACAGCCTGGCGGAAATACACGGACAGCAATGGTCTCCAGGAGGTCAGTGCCAGGGAGCGACAGGCGCTCGCACGGTGGAGAGTGGCGCACCAGAACGGCAACACCACCACCGCGCCCAGTGCGGGCCTGAAGGTAGTCATCATGGCCAGATAATTTCGTCGCAACGTCACCACGGTTACTTATTTCCTGCAGAAGAACGATGTCAGGTCGACGCTGCTCCAATCGCGCAGCAAATGCAATCTTTTTCACGGACGAGAGGCCTGCAATGTTAGGCTGCCTAATATTGATGAAGCCATCCACCTCGGGCCATGGTTCTTGTGGACGTCACCGCCACGGGTGATATCAACGGAGTGACCGCTGCGAAACGGTCGTGCAGTTCTGTCCGACAGTCTGCAGGCAAACCGCCTCACCTCCCCACACCGGGCATGGCGTGAAACCTTCTCGAGGGGTGAAGTCACCTTGGTCTCCGTCGTGCTCGCAGCAACGCCCTGCTGCGGAGTTCCTATACACAACCAAAGCCTCAACACCGCGACAAGGTGCAACATCATCGCTGGGGACCGTGGATACTCGCAACGGATGGCGGTGTCGACGTCCCCACTTCAGCCGGGATTGGCATACTGCTCTCATCCCTGCATTCCTCGAAGATAATAGAAAATGTCGGTACCAACTGCGGTACACGCCCATGCAGCCGCACGACGGAGTCCCGTGCACTGCTCCCGGCCATGGAAAGGCTGAGTGTCCATCGTATCCAGCACAGGCAAAAACCCTGCTTGTGGTGACAGACAGTCAGTCTCTTCTAGCCGCCGTCACCAAGGGCCCGCACAGTCATACCGACTGGATGGAGGATCGGCTCTGGCAGCGTCTCTTGTCGCTGACGCGTGCCGGCTGATCCGTGCACCTGCAGTTTTGCTACGAACATCGCGGAGTACATGTTAACGAGCCTGCAGATCATTAGACGAAGACCACGGCAACCGGACATTACACGGAACATGGAATAGCACCCATATGGCACACGGACCTGCTGCCATGCATTAACACCCAGCTCACCAACAAGTGGCGTAGCACCATGCATCAGGACACCCACCACTACCTGCTTGGCGGCGCCAGGCCATCAGATCCAGACGGCAAGCACCTGATTACTCAGGAAGCCCTCGACCAACAGGAACGGACAAACATTGCATGAGCAGGGTGCGGGGAATCCGAGCTCTGGGGTCGCCTGTACTGGACTGTGAGAGACTGCACGAGCCAACGCCGTTTCCGCAACACCTCACCGGAACAGTCCGCTCTCATGCGCTCCAACAATGATCCCACTGCACCGGGACGGAAGCTGTTCCCCCGACGACAAGGGAGGCCGGCGCACCGCCTGTGGAGAGACGGCCCTCCACACAGCGTCGGAAGAAGAAATGCCCGCACTGTGACGCCACACTGGTGGGACACACGAACCACATCAGCCACTATCGGTGCCTTCATCCGGAACGCCCTCCACCGCTTCCCGACCTCCACCGCGATTGCTGCGACACGGTCTTCCCCACACAAAAAAAGCACCGCAGAGAAATCGCTGTGCACAAAACCCAGACGCTGATCGGCACCGCAGCAGCAGTGCCAGGAGACAATCACTGCTACCGCAGGATCAGCCAGCCTCCACAAGCGCAACAATTAGCCCGAAGAAAACACTGCACCATCTGCTTCCGGAATTTACAGACGCTCTGGCTGTGCGCCAACGGCTGGGCATTAAGAAGGACCTTTGCACCGAAAGGTTCTCCCAATGGCAGCTGCCTCATAGCAGGAAACTCATGTCGCTGCTCGACCACCTCCTCGGCACCCTGGTGACATCGTGTGGCTAGACAGGTCGGTAAGAGCACGGAAAAATAATAATAATGAGCATTCCCGCCACTATACAGACGTGGTGCATCTTGCGATCCCGCTGGCGGCTCTCCTGTCCCACCGCTGTTTTTGCGCAAGAGGTCACCACAGTCATTTTTGTGGTTTGGTCGGCTTCGTGTTGCGCTCCGGGTTCTCCTTCATCGCCCTGCGGTGCTTCCTTCGCCGTCCCTGGCACCTGTGACTGTCCCATGACGGTTTGTTCCGAGGCCTGACTGCCCTGGGAGGTCCTCCCGCCACCAGCATGCACTCCACCTGCTGCCTGCTGAGATGCGTCGGAGCATGGGGATGCTGTGCCTGCAGCGTGCCCTCCGCCCAAAGACTCCGGTCCACTTGCACGCATCCAAGCAGCAGACGCGCTGCCAGTGCCGGACGGATTGCAAGTGTTACCTCGCAGTGGGTCGCTGCTGGATTGGCCCTGCCTCGTCGGAGCAGTGAGTGGTCCTGCCGAGGTGGGATTGTGGCCCTCACCCGCGGTGCTTCCTCTACCCTCCTCGTCTTCCTGATTGCTATTGTCCTCAGAGTTCACATTCCCCTTTCGTCCAGAGCCACCGGCCACGGGTCCACCTTCCGCAGCCATCACAGCTTCCGCGTGCCCAGCAGTCACCGCGCCATCACCAGCGGGCCGCACACGCACTCCGTCGCAGCAGCCGTCACTCACACGCACGAGCAGCTGCGCATCACTGCAGGAGCCAACAGGACGCAGAGCACACGGCCAGTCATCATCACAAACAGTGGAGTCGCCTAACGCTGCGGAGCCAACCTGCGATAGCATGTGAAAACAAAGAGAGAGACACAGCCGATACACCACGCACAGCCACCGCACAGCAACAAATGGCAGCACCCCAGAAGCAGCAGCGCACACACCACGAGACACATGGAATCAGTACGATTGCAGAGCTCGCACACCGCACCGCAAACCACAAGTTTAAAAAGCAATAAAAAACAATAATTAAAAAACAGAAATTAAAAAAAGAAAAGAAAAACAAACCCAGGGCTCCAGTGCGCATGCACATGAGTGTGTCCGCGATACGTTCAACGTGACGGATGCGGGGCACAACGCGGAGCACACAGCACGGCAGCAGAAGCAAGTGAAGCAAAACACAATCATTATTTTCTCTTATTTATACAGTGGACCACACATACGCGCACAAATCCCCGCGGTTGAGTGCTGGCACGCACAGCCCGCACGCAATTCTTCAGCCCAGAGTGGTGTACGCCAGCGCGGATGCGGCAAGCACCAGCGGGGCACACACCCACGCAGAGCTGCTGAGGCTGCCGTCGATTTCGCGAAGACGTGACGGTGTGCGGGTGGTCGACACAGCTGGCGCCTCTGTAGTCGTAGTACTTGGTGCCTCTGGCGCAGTGGTGGTGGTCGTCGTGGTTGGTGCCTTTGTTGTAGTCGGTGGTTTTGTTGTGGTCGTCGTCGTGGTTGGTGGTTTTGTCCCTGACGTGTCTTCCGCTTCCTTAACTATTTTTCCTGAGGACGTACTCGTGCTACGCGTCGTCTCTGTCTTACTGTCCTTATCGTCTGTCTGTACCTCAATGGGCTCGGCATTTACTTGCGGTACCGTAACGGTCGGACTTCCTCCATATCCGGCATTATTTCGCGGTTGCTCAGCGGACCCGTTACTTTGCATCCCTGGCTGACCGGTCCCCTGTGGTGCTCCCTCTGTTGCAGGAGTCGATTGACCGTTGACGGCTTCAGGAGATTCAGGCTTAGTTGGTACCGGTGTTGTATTCGTCTGTGAAGAAGCGGCAGGCTGAATTTCTGAAACGCACACGGACGGGCAGCAGCACAGGGCAAGCACCAACAGGGCGCACAGCAGACGGCACGTCATCATCATCGTGAGTGTGGTCGTTCAGTGGTGTGGAGCTGATCTGCACAGTGAGGGACATGGAGAGCAACAGGGGAGACGAGAGGTGCAGCAGACACACACAGAGGGCACACCACATGAGGAGAGGGCAGCAGCCAGGCATGCACCGTACGCCGCACACCACGCACGACACACACTCCAACCCACGGCAGCAGGCACACACACACACAGCCCTGCCGCAACACCAACACACAGATGGAAGAGGGAGAGGCAAACAGGAGCGGCACACAAGGCTCCACCGCATGTGCATGCGGCGAGAGCGGTCCGTCGTGTCGGCACCCCTCACGGAGGGTACGCACACACACGAGAAGGTGCAGCGCACACAACAACACAAAAGCAAAGTAACAATAAAAAAAGGAGATCCCCGCACACCACGCGGATTGTTGGTCCACGGGAAGTGCAGCCAATATTCACCACAAAGCAGCTTATTATCTTGTTTTGGTTGTATGCTGCTACAATAACGAGTGAGTAGCGCAAGGGCCGTCCGTACAGAAGTGGCAAGTATTCCGTCGCAAACGGGCCGTCGTGCGGGCTGGGGCAGTCCCACACAGTCGCAGTCCCAGTTCCCAACGACGAGGGCATTCCCGCAGTGGATGAGGCAGAGTCTCCCGTGGTCCGTCGGGGGATCAGCAGCCCGTGGCGTCCGTGATGAGGCGGTGGCGGAAGAGCCTGGTCCATCTCGAGTTCCCGCGTTTGTGCTTCCTGCGTGTCTTGCCTGCTGGCATGCTTGGCAACTTCGGTGGCGACCTGCGCGCGAGGCACCTGTTAAGACGGTGGCGCCATTGTGGCATCCGCATGGGAGGCCCTCGCAAACTATCGGAACGCCAGGCTGAGCACGTCCGGCATGTGCCCTCATACTGTGGACGGACAAGTGCACTCTGCCGCAGGTTGGGCAGGAGGACGTCAATCCGCCGCTCGCTGGCAGGCAAGGAGTTGCGGTGCTCACGTCGGGAAGAGGTTCCGGCGGAGGCAGAGGCGGGCCGGTCACCGCAGTGAGGGAGGGACGGCACCACCGACACAGAGGGTTCCTTGTGATCTGCAGGGCGTGTGCAGGCCTGTCGAAGAGTGGGCAGGAGTCGCATCGCGCCTGTGCGCTGTGCCGCCACTCGGGAACCGATGTCCGGGTCAACACCAGGAACAGAGCCCTCGCCACACCGACAGGCGCCTGTCAAGCGGTGTGCGCGGCTTCCTTTTCCTCCTGGACATCCTTCCATTATAACCTATTGACGGCGGTAAGGAAGTCCACGTGCCAGGCAGTGACGCAGTCCTGCGAGACGGATCGTGCAATCGTGACTTCGTCCTCAGCGGCCTCATTGCGTGGAATACCGCAGTGTCATGGGAAAATATAAAATCCACAGGGTGACCTCGCTTCACCAAGGAAAGCAGCATAATCCAAATTTGCTCAGTAACGCGGTCTCGCACGGTCGGTGGGCAACGCGGGGTGCCTCAATTGCCGAGAGGGAGTCCGTTTCCTCCAGCATTCGTGTGGGCGATTGGGATGTTCCCAGACAAGGAGGTATGAGATGTCTAAAAACATTTTCGATCGCAGGGCAGTCTGCCCTATATGAGCATGCGAGGCTGCCAGCTGCTGCACAATGTACCTCCACAGGGAGATCATTTGTCGTGGTGGAATCATATAATAGCGCAGCGGATCCAGATGCGAGTGCAGCGAGATATGAAGGGCCGTCCGTCCACAATTCAAAATCACAATCCCCCAAAGAGGAATGAGTACAATCAAAAGCCGTGCGCCTGACATCTTCAGAGGCGTCTTTGGCAAACAGTGGCTGATAAAATCCCACTCTGTCGCAGATCACAGTGTCTCAGGAAAAAATTCGATGTTGGGCAAGAGGCGCGCAAATGTGGTTGTGGGGTGTCCCAATAATGTCACAGACGCGTAGCAATCCATTAATAACAGCATCTCTCGGAAGCGGGATTGATGTCGCTGTCTTCCCATGCATGGACGGCGGCATACATTCCGAGTAGATAAGGGAACGCAAATCCTCGTGATCATGGAAGCGTATATAGCGTTCGTATTGTGTGAGTGCACGACGCCAGAGCATCTTACGGAGCGGAAGAATATTGGCTTCCAAATAGACAGATGTGTCTTCCGTAGATGCACTCAGGCAAAGAATGTTTTGCTACCGTCGCGGTACCGTACTTCCATATTATGGAGGTGAGTGGGGACGAGTCACGGGACACTTGCCTCGCCATTATGAAATAGCACACCATGAACGTACCCAATCAAAAAGGATCGCATGGTGTGATGGGACGCGCCCGCCTCTGCAACCAGTCGCAGCTGATAGCGGCGTGGCATGGTCTTCTTTGAAGCGGTGGAAGCATGCGTAACAAAATTAAGAAGTCGATCGAACGTGTTGCCCAGTAAGCGCACTGGGAATGACTGAATACGTAGGTTCCCGCTAACAAGATGGAGATCGACCATGTCCTCGTCAGACCGTGTGTGTGTGAAGAGATGTAGAATAGAGCAGCTTCGCTCTTATCAACGTTGATTTTTAGGCTGTACTCGGCAGCCCATGTGGCCACAAGAGACAAGAGCGGTCGCATTGCCGCAGCACAGGCATGGATGTCCGCACCTGAGGCAAAAAGTGTGTGTTCGTCAGCGTACATGAAAGCGGAGGCAGAATAGATGCTGTCCAGGCGGCGCAGCAGATCATCCACACAGTGGAGGAAGAGTTGGGGTCCCGGGACGCCGCCTTGCGGTACTCCAGCTGAGGCGAGTTGTTTCCGGGAGTGCTGTTCGCAAGTGCATACCCTAACATAGCGGCCCCGCAGGTAGTTGTGCAGCCAGCGTTTGGTTCGAGGGCAAAGGCACGGAACTCTGTCAAGCATGCAGAATAATTTCCCATGGTCAGTGGTGTCGAACGCAGTCGGAAAATCAATCGAGACCACAAGCGATGGCGACGAGCGTGTCGTGTGGGAGCGTCGTCTCCAGGGCGCTCATACTCCACAATGCCAAACTCATTCAATCCACGAGTAATTTATCGATAACAAGTGCCACCACGTCCGACGTAGAACGCGGAGGTGCAAATCCAAAATTGACGTGGGTGGTGTGGCAATAACGCTGACAGACGGCGGTGAATCACTCCTTCGGTTAACTTTAGTAAAACAGAGAGCAGCGTAAAAAGTCCGTAACTCTCTGGGCGGCATGGATCCTTCCCAGGCTTGGGGATAGGAATAGCGTCTCCCATTTTCCAGGAGCCAGGCAGGCTGCCATTTGCGAAGGAGTTGTGGATCATCGTTCTAAGTGTGCCACGCGCGACGGGCACAAAACGATGCAGGAATTCATTCAACATGTCGTCGGGGCCAGGGGCTGAGCCAAGCAAAGAGTCACGGATGGTCACGTCAAGTTCATACAGCGGAAAGGCCGATCCATTTCCCAGCCACCAGAAACCAAAGGAGTGCAGCGAGCAGCAGCAGCAGTATAAGGCGGTACGGCACGTGAAACCGCACAAAATGACGGACAAGCAGATTTGCCTGTTGCCGAGGCAGGGCGCATACGCGGCCAAGATCAGTGCGGAGCACAACCGATTCCAGAGGATGAGGGTGCGGCGCCGCCATGCCGTGAAGATATCGCCACCTCGGGCTGGGTGAAGCTCCACGTCTTTTCGCGCGGGCTTCCAAAAGCACAGCGAAGCAACGGCGTAAGGCTTGATTTCGTTCCTCCTTTTTTTCGGGTACATTCGGCTCAAAGTAGGCTGTCTCCGGGTGAGGCAATGTGTGTGCTTCGTGTGCTGCTTCGGCGGCGGACTCGGCTTGTTCCATTTCGTGTGTCCATGTCTTTTTTGGAGCTGTCACGGCTGCCGCGCGGGATATGGCGCTCAGCTGCTCGTAAGATGCCTCCGCAAAGATCCAACCATGTGGACGCGGTGGCAAGGAGGGTTTCACACAACGATGTAAAAGCAGGCCAGTCCGCTTTACGCAGGGCAAAGGTGGCTTTCTTCCGTCAAGGCAGCGTGTTTGCTAGTCGTGGAGTGCCATCGTCCATCTCTACCAAGTAAGATATTCAGCAGTGGTCCGAGTTTATGTAATGGGCGAATGTCCAGTGGGAGATGCGTAGGGCGCAATACGCAGTCACGTCAGGGGACGAGGCATTACGATGTGTGATCCGTGTTGCCTGCGCCGGGTCATTTGCCAGCCCAAAATCCATATCGATTAGAACAGCGGCGAAATTATCACCTCCAGTCGTTGATGGTATATGTGACTGTCCCAGAGTTCACGATGTAAATTCAGGTCACCCGCGATAATCTCTTCGGGCCCAAGCGACAAACGATATTGATAAATGCGGATTATCGACCAATTGTTGTGGGGGGGTTGTAGAGATTCGCCACGCAAATGCTGGGACAGCCTGGTGGAAATACACGGGCAGCAATGGTCTCCAGGAGGTCAGTGCCAGGGAGCGACAGGCGTCCACACGGTGAAGAGTGGCGCACCAGAACGGCAACACCACCACCGCGCCCAGTGCGGGCCTGAAGGTAGTCATTATGGCCAGATAATTTCGTCGCAACGTCACCACGGTTACTTATTTCCTGCAGAAGAACGATGTCAGGTGGACGCTGCTCCAATCGCGCAGCAAATGCAATATTTTTCACGGACGAGAGGCCTGCAATGTTAAGCTGCCTAATATTGATGAAGCCATCCACCTCGGGCCATGGTTCTTGTGGACGTCACCGCCACGGGTGATATCAACGGAGTGACCGCTGCGAAACGGTCGTGCAGTTCTGTCCGACAGTCTGCAGGCAAACCGCCTCACCTCCCCACACCGGACATGGCGTGAAACCTTCTCGAGGGGTGAAGTCACCTTGGTCTCCGTCGTGCTCGCAGCAACGCCCTGCTGCGGAGTTCCTATACGCAACCAAAGCCCCAACACCGCGACAAGGTGCAACATCATCGCTGGGGACCGTGGATACTAGCAACGGATGGCGGTGTTGACGTCCCCAATTCAGCAGCGATTGGCATACTGCTCTCATCCCTGCATTCCTCGAAGATAATAGAAAATGTCGGTACCAACTGCGGTACACGCCCATGCAGCCGCACGACGGAATCCCGTGCACTGCTCCCGGCCATGGAAAGGCTGAGTGTCCATCGTATCCAGCACAGGCGAAAACCCTGCTTGTGGTGACAGACAGTCAGTCTCTTCTAGCCGCCGTCACCAAGGGCCCGCACAGTCATACCGACTGGATGGAGGATCGGCTCTGGCAGCGTCTCTTGTCGCTGACGCGTGCCGGCTGATCCGTGCACCTGCAGTTTTGCTACGAACATCGCGGAGTACATGTTAACGAGCCTGCAGATCATTAGACGCAGACCACGGCAACCGGACATTACACGGAACATGGAATAGCACCCATATGGCACACGGACCTGCTGCCATGCATTAACACCCAGCTCACCAACAAGTGGCGTAGCACCATGCATCAGGACACCCACCACTACCTGCTTGGCGGCGCCAGGCCATCAGATCCAGACGGCAAGCACCTGATTACTCAGGAAGCCCTCGACCAACAGGAACGGACAAACACTGCATGAGCAGGGTGCGGGGAATCCGAGCTCTGGGGTCGCCTGTACTGGACTGTGAGAGACTGCACGAACCAACGCCGTTTCCGCAACATCTCACCGAAACACTCCGCTTTCATGCGCTCCAACAATGATCCCACTGCACCGGGACGGAAGCTGTTCCCCCGACGACAAGGGAGGCCGGCGCACCGCCTGTGGAGAGACGGCCCTCCACACAGCGTCGGAAGAAGAAATGCCCGCACTGTGATGCCACACTGGTGGGACACAAGAACCACATCGGCCACTGTCGGTGCCTTCATCCGGAACGCCCTCCACCGCTTCCCGACCTCCACCGCGATTGCTGCGACACGGTCTTCCCCACACAAAAAAAGCACCGCAGAGAAATCGCTGTGCACAAAACCCAGACGCTGATCGGCACCGCAGCAGCAGTGCCAGGAGACAATCACTGCTACCGCAGGATCAGCCAGCCTCCACAAGCGCAACAATTAGCCCGAAGAAAACACTGCACCATCTGCTTCCGGAATTTACAGACGCTCTGGCTGTGCGCCAACGGCTGGGCATTAAGAAGGACCTTTGCACCGAAAGGTTCTCCCAATGGCAGCTGCCTCATAGCAGGAAACTCATGTCGCTGCTCGACCACCTCCTCGGCACCCTGGTGACATCGTGTGGCTAGACAGGTCGGTAAGAGCACGGAAAAATAATAATAATGAGCATTCCCGCCACTATACAGACGTGGTGCATCTTGCGATCCCGCTGGCGGCTCTCCTGTCCCACCGCTGTTTTTGCGCAAGAGGTCACCACAGTCATTTTTGTGGTTTGGTCGGCTTCGTGTTGCGCTCCGGGTTCTCCTTCATCGCCCTGCGGTGCTTCCTTCGCCGTCCCTGGCACCTGTGACTGTCCCATGACGGTTTGTTCCGAGGCCTGACTGCCCTGGGAGGTCCTCCCGCCACCAGCATGCACTCCACCTGCTGCCTGCTGAGATGCGTCGGAGCATGGGGATGCTGTGCCTGCAGCGTGCCCTCCGCCCAAAGACTCCGGTCCACTTGCACGCATCCAAGCAGCAGACGCGCTGCCAGTGCCGGACGGATTGCAAGTGTTACCTCGCAGTGGGTCGCTGCTGGATTGGCCCTGCCTCGTCGGAGCAGTGAGTGGTCCTGCCGAGGTGGGATTGTGGCCCTCACCCGCGGTGCTTCCTCTACCCTCCTCGTCTTCCTGATTGCTATTGTCCTCAGAGTTCACATTCCCCTTTCGTCCAGAGCCACCGGCCACGGGTCCACCTTCCGCAGCCATCACAGCTTCCGCGTGCCCAGCAGTCACCGCGCCATCACCAGCGGGCAGCACACGCACTCCGTCGCAGCAGCCGTCACTCACACGCACGAGCAGCTGCGCATCACTGCAGGAGCCAACAGGACGCAGAGCACACGGCCAGTCATCATCACAAACAGTGGAGTCGCCTAACGCTGCGGAGCCAACCTGCGATAGCATGTGAAAACAAAGAGAGAGACACAGCCGCTACACCACGCACAGCCACCGCACAGCAACAAATGGCAGCACCCCAGCAGCAGCAGCGCACACACCACGAGACACATGGAATCAGTACGATTGCAGAGCTCGCACACCGCACCGCAAACCACAATTTTAAAAAGTAATAAAAAACAATAATTAAAAAACAGAAATTAAAAAGAAAAGAAAAACAAACCCAGGGCTCCAGTGCGCATGCTTATGAGTGTGTCCGCGATGCGTTCAACGTGACGGATGCGGGGCACAACGCGGAGCACACAGCACGGCAGCAGAAGCAAGTGAAGCAAAACACAATCATTATTTTCTCTTATTTATACAGTGAACCACACATACGCGCACAAATCCCCGTGATTGGGTGCTGGCACGCACAGCCCGCACACACCTCTTCAGCCCACAGTGGTGTACGCCAGCGCGGATACGGCAAGCACCAGCGGGGCACACACCCACGCAGAGCTGCTGAGGCTGCCGTCGATTTCGCGAAGACGTGACGGTGCGCGGGTGGTCGACACAGCTGGCGCCTCTGTAGTCGTAGTACTTGGTGCCTCTGGCGCAGTGGTGGTCGTCGTGGTTGGTGCCTGTGTGGTGGTGGTCGTCGTGGTTGTCTGAGCAGAAGTTTCAGACTCCTTATTTGTTTGTTCTGCGGATGGTTCAGTGCGACTTTGTTGCTCTTTCGTACCCTCTGTCAATGATTTATTTGGCTCGGTATTTACTTTTGGTCCCAGACCTGCCGTACTGGTAGATCCTGTTCCCTCTTCGCCACCATTTCCCGGCGTTGCAACTGACCCCAAACTTGACGACCCTGTCGAACCGGCGGTCCCTTGTGATGGATCTGGTGGTGAAGGCAGTGGAACGACACCTACATTATTTTTGAGTGTGGACTTCTCCTTGGGGACTGATGCCGGGGGTGTGGTCGCCGTGGTCGTCTGGGAAGAAGTGGCGGCAGCTTGAGACTGAGTGTCTGCCACGCACACGGACGGGCAGCAGCACAGGGCAAGCACCAACAGGGCGCACAGCAGACGGCACGTCATCATCATCGTGAGTGTGGTCGTTCAGTGGTGTGGAGCTGATCTGCACAGTGAGGAACATGGAGGGCAACAGGGGAGACGAGAGGTGCGGCAGACACACACAGAGGGCACACCACATGAGGAGAGGGCAGCAGCCAGGCATGCACCGTACGCCGCACACCACACACGACACACACTCCAATCCACGGCAGCAGGCACACACACACACACAGCCCTGCCGCAACACCAACACACAGATGGAAGAGGAAGAAGCAAACAGGAGCGGCACACAAGGCTCCACCGCATGTACATAAGGCGAGAGCGGTCCGTCGTGTCTGCACCCCTCACGGAGGGTGCGCACACACTCAAGAAGGTGCAGCGCACACAACAACACAAAAGCAAAGTAACAATAAAAAAGTAGATCCCCGCACACCACGTGGATTGTTGGTCCACGGGAAGTGCAGCCAATATTCACCACAAGCAGTTCATTTGCAGTAGGCCTTCGTCCACATTCATCGCACTCCACGTCATGCAGGCCCGGCCACCATCACAGGAGCAGCTGCTGCACGCGCAACAAGAAACAAGAAAGGGAGGTGGTGTGGGAGACTACGGTGCTGCTGTCACTGTCGCCAGGCGAAGCTGTGTGTATATTGTTAGTGGCGGTGGCGGTGTCCCTCTTGAACCCCTCACTGTGGCCTGCGGGGGTAACTGTGCCGGCTGATGTACCTTCGGTTTTGTTGTTGCATTCTTCTTCTCCACTTCTTCTGTGGAGGGTTCGTCGTCCTCTCCGTTCAGATGGCTCGCATTATGATTGGTCGTGGTGCTGCTGGCGGCGGCGTTAAACTCTGCAGCTGGAAGAAATGCGGTGCTGTTGTCAGCCTCGGCAGCAGGCGCTTTGTCTCCACGCTGGCGGTCTTCTATTTTCTCTGCAGCGTCAGAAAGTGGAGGCTGTTTGGAAATCTCCTGCACGGTGCATTCCTCCTTCCAATCTAATGCAGCAAAGCTGCCATCTGAAAAGGACGATGACTGCGATGGCCTCTCGTAAACGGGAGATGGTGCATGCTGCACGGTGTCTTGGCGTGCTGCAACTTCTTTCCTTTCTGCCTCATCTCCACCAGCTGCTTCTACTGCAACTTCTCCTCCCGATTCTTCTTGTGGTGCATCACCCGGTACTTGTGCAGAAGTTGTGTTTAAACCCACATCGTGTTTTGGCGTTACCCTCGCCATTCTCTGGCCATGAAACTTCATGTCGGCTGTCAGACCCTTCTGCCCCTTGCGGCGGTTCCTGCCCCCGCTGTTTGTCTTATTTGTTCGCCCCGGTACTGCGGCTGGTTTTGTTGGTAGTGATCCTTTTCGCCCCCCAATGGCAGGCTGTGTTGGGGGCTGGGCTCCTCCCTCTGTCCCACCGCCCTCCGATGACTCAGCGACTTTCAACTTTTCATCCTGAGCGGATTCGTTTTCCGGACTGCCGGTGGCGCGACTGCCATCCGAAGAGGGCAATGCTCGATCCCTTTGGGGCGCGAGTTCCAGGCGCCCCACCGTGACAGGAGCCATCAGCATCCGAGCCTTGCCTTTTGAACCATTCACAGTTGACTCCTCCCGCTGTCCAACTCCACTCAATGCGCCGTGTGACTCCGACACATTCGTTTTCATTTCGGGCGGCAAATAACGCCATCCCGCTGATCCTCCACATACTGCCGGTGCCGCTGGTGGCGCTCCGCCTTGTCTTTTCCTCGTTCTAACGGCAGGCGATCTACGCGGCTGGTGACGCATCTCGTTGAGTGTTCATTGGATTGCAGCATACCCCCTTATCCTCAGCGGTGTCAGCAGCAACAGCAATCCCTTGGCGCCTCCAACGACGACGGCCATCCAATTACGCACGCATTCCTCCACGGCGGACGCATTCGCCCTTCCTCCTGTCCTTCTGCGGACATCCATCGCGCACTCCCTCCGCAGCTGAGCACACCACCGCGAGAGCGAATACTCACCCGTACCGCTATCGCCACCACAGCACGCAGAGGACACACACCAGCAGCACACGGCCAGTCATCATCGCCATCACTCCTGTCACTTACGTGCAGCCTTCAGCAAAAGTAACTCCCCTTAAACAGAGGGGAAAAGCAAAAAGATAGACACAGCCGCTACACCACGCACACCGGCAGCACCCCAGCAGCAGCAGCGCACACACCACGAGACAGATGGAATCAGTACGATTGCAGAGCTCGCACACCGCACCGCAAACCACAAGTTTAAAAAGCAATAAAAAACAATAATTAAAAAACAGAAATTAGAAAGAAAAGAAAAACAAACCCAGGGCTCCAGTGCGCATGCTTATGAGTGTGTCCGCGATGCGTTCAACGTGGCGGATGCGGGGCACAACGCGGAGCACACAGCACGGCAGCAGAAGCAAGTGAAGCAAAACACAATCATTATTTCCTCTTATTTTATACAGTGGACCACAACACGCGCGCACAAATCCCGCGGTTGAGTGCTGGCACGCACAGCCCGCACACACCTCTTCAGCCCAGAGCGGTGTACGCCAGCGCGGATGCGGCGAGCACCAGCGGGGCACACACCCACGCAGAGCTGCTGAGGCTGCCGTCGATTTCGCGCAGACCTGACGGTGCGCGGGTGGTCGACACAGCTGGCGCCTCTGTAGTCGTAGTACTTGGTGCCTCTGGCGCAGTGGTGGTCGTCGTGGTTGGTGCCTTTGTTGTGGTGGTCGTAGTGGTCGTGTCAACACCACCTTCGGCATTCCCATTTGCTTGATCCGCGGGTTGTCCCGTGCTACCTTGTGACCCTGTCGTACCATCGTTACCAGCTGCCTGTGAAGTACCGGTCGCACTCTGTCCCGCTCCGTCATCTTCTGGTTTCACAGCCGGATTAGTCACTGGTAGTGCAGACGGTCCTGAGTGACCTTTCCCCTGCACTCCCTCTAGTTGGAGGGACGATTGACCGGCGACTTTTCCAACAGCTTGAATATTAGCCTTGTCATTAGTAACTGGTGGCTGTGTTGTATTCTTCGTGGTCGTTTTGGAAGAGCCTTCAGGCTCATCCTCTGACGCGCACACGGACGGGCAGCAGCACAGGGCGAGCACCAACAGGGCGCACAGCAGACGGCACGTCATCATCATCGTGAGTGTGGTCGTTCAGTGGTGTGGAGCTGATCTGCACAGTGAGGGACATGGAGAGCAACAGGGGAGACGAGAGGTGCGGCAGACACACAGAGAGAGCACACCACATGAGGAGAGGGCAGCAGCCAGGCATGCACCGTACGCCGCACACCACACACGACACACACTCCAATCCACGGCAGCAGGCACACACACACACAGCCCTGCCGCAACACAACACACAGATGGAAGAGGGAGAAGCAAACAGGAGCGGCACACAAGGCTCCACCGCATGTACATAAGGCGAGAGCGGTCCGTCGTGTCGGCACCCCTCACGGAGGGTACGCACACACACAAGAGGAGGTGCAGCGCACACAGCAACACAAAAGCAAAGTAACAATAAAAAAAGAGATCCCCGCACACCACGTGGATTGTTGGTCCACGGGAAGCGCAGCCACCACCGCAGCAGCAGCAGCAGACGCAAAGTTAAGCGCAAGGAATGAAATAAAGCAGCCATTTATTCGTGTTTTTTTTTTGGAGGGTGGAAGATGTCTGCATATGTTGTTATTGTTTTTGCGGAGAACAAACTTTCATGCCTGGGTCGTGTGTTGGGATTACTGCAGGGTACACAATTTCTTTTTTTCCTTCTTGTGCATTTGTTTCTTGTGTTGGTGCAGCCAATAATTCGGTTTGTGTTGTTCCTGCTTTTCGCTGGTAAAGTGCTGCAATAGATGTTTTTATTTATTCTTTCGTTGCTGTGGCACCTGATTCCTCACCGTTTATTGCGGTGGAAATAAATAATAAGTGAGTGGACTCCCACGCACCAGAACGCACCTTCGCTCCTATTTATTGGTGCATGGAAGGGCATGTCTGTTTGGTGGTGTCTCGTCCATATATTCTTATGGGTGCACATTCCCCTGCAGGCTGAGGGCGGGGTGACGCTCCGTCGCGGTGCACTTCCCTCGCATGCCGCCCACTGTGATTCATCATGCATCACCCCCTCACACATTCCCCGTGGTGCCACACCGTCAATATTATTGCAGCCGCTGTGACTCCGCGTATTTCACGCATTTGATTGTGCCACAATACATCCGCTCGTGTGGCTGCCGCATCCAAACAGCGGTGCCCAACACCGTGAGCGGCAGTCCACATCCTTGCATGTCCCAACGCAGTGGTGTTTGACTGTCAGCCAGGCGCCAGACAACAGGAGAGTCTTGTGCTGGCAGCACAGCACACGGAGCTGCAGTGAATGACTCGGGCGGCGACGCATCTATTTGTCGCAAAGCAGTGAAAAGGAGTCGGGCAAAATAATGCCGGCTGCACTCACGACACCATATCCACAGCCAAAGCATGCGACGTGATGTGTGTTTCATTGGTGCTGTGAAATGCCTGCAGACGACGTCACTAGTGGAGGCATGCCACCCATGATCAGCGGACAGACAATAATCGGCATGGGAGGCCACAAAAGGCGGCAACGACGCCAGCAGGTGCAGCGGGTCTCTCTCTGTTGCCTCCGAGAAGTAAATATTCCACCAGCCACGGCTGACTGTGCCATCGTGACACTCCATGCACGTCGTGGCTGCGTCAACACATTCTGTTCCCTGCAGCGCCTCAAAAGATGCCTCACTCCGTCCACTAAGTGCATCGGTGTGGGCCGTGCCTCGGCTGTTCGTGAGGACCACAACGATGTGAGGGTCACCGAGTCGCAGCATGTTTGTTGTGACGTTGTTGCATGGCACCTGCACACACACACACGCAGCGCCTGCATCCCTCCCGTTTGCGTTCGCCCTCTGCCGGAGTGGCCACACACACGGGCAGCAGCAAAATCACTTCACCCTCGACGATCCAAAATCAACACCGACATCCCTCGCGACGCAAAGATCTCAGTTGCCAGCACGGGCTTCCTGCCGCTCTGCCATCGACACTGAAACACGGCACAGTGCACGCACTTATTTTCCTCGTGTGCAGGCAGCCGTTTGCTTCACACATTCTTCGATGGACTGACGTCCATAAAAGCACGCCACAAAAGGCCACTGTGATCGCACAAGCCATTGCGATGAGCGTCTGTGTGTGCATGCATCCGCTGCTCACACGTGCTGGCAAGCAGCCTGCAGCCGGTGCCCTCGTGCCAGTTCATCGGCTCCAGCACGGAAAAGAGAAAATGGCCTATTCCCGATGCACTTATTCCCACCAGCAGCAACAACACGCTGGGCGCCAGACGTCATTCCTCAGCACATCCAGGAATGCTGAAAAGTGACGTGGAACTGTCAGCCAGCAATGCCACAATCCCCGCACACATGTCGGCTCCACCAGAGAAGACAAAAAAACTACAAACAACACCCCTCACAAGTCTTCCAAACATCATTCCGACACACCGCGACACGCCAAACAGAAGTATTCGTCACTCCATGCACCTCCCCACACAATCAAATAGTCCATGCACCACGCACGGCAGCAGCTCACACGTGGTCAAACAACTGTTCCTCGGATCAGTGATATCCACGTGCTGCGACGGGAAGTAAACAAAAGAGACGAGCGGCCAGACCACAAAAGAGTGCAACGACCGGCCGCAAGTAAACGGAACGCTGCCACTCAAAACAATTCCGTCCTAATGCCCTCAACCTCCCACCTTCTCCCACAAAAGCCCCAAGTGCTGCCAATCAAGCGCGCCGTCCAAGAAAGTCGCTGTGCAAGACCAGGAGGAATCGCAGTGCCTCCTGCTGCCATCCGGGTCCGTTGTGGACGCCATGATGAGTAGAAACGCCCATTGGTGCTTCGAAACGACGCTGCACACCTGCGACGCATCATACGGTTTGAGACGCACGTGCCTCACAAGCACCACAGACGCCCTCGCGCCGTCGGTACGCCCTACATCGTCAAGGAATCAGAGGATACGTCAGGGTGGCAGCAAAGCACCCGCTGGCAATTCACGTCGCAGGCAACATCAATAGCAACACAAGAATCGCTGCATACCGTGGGGTGCCGTGGATCAACTGACGCACGGCGTATGTGGAAAAGAAAAAGACGTGGTGGCTTTACAAGGATACGAGTGGCTGACACTTTTAGAAGGAGAAAGAAAACAATGTGGGAACACACAAAGAGGAATCAGGCGTCCGCAGTCAAAGCAAGCCAGCAATCAAAAAAAGTAGGATGGGTGCACTCAACCACAACACAGGCAGAGGATAAAAAATACCAACAACAAAAAGCCGAAGCGTGGGGGCGTCCACCCAGCAGTGGGGACGCGCAGCAACAGGTGGGACGACCAGCGCACACACTCTCATTGCCCCCGTAAAGCAAAACACACACATACACAAACAGGGTGAGAGAGAGAGAGAGGTCGCCCACTCAATGCAATGGAAACAAAACAGAAACAGTTACGGTGCTCCGCCCATGCAGCCACGCAGGACGGCAGCGGTGCGTGTCGTGCAAAAGAGAGCACCAACGGGCCTGCATGGGTGTGCATGCAATATATACAATGGGCACATTATGTGTGTGCCTCGTGGGGTGAGGTGAGGGCGAGAGTCCATGCAAGGGGACACACACAGAGAGTGAGTGAAAGACGAGTGTGTGTGCAGGCGGTGCACGGCTCTCTCTCACTCACTCTCACGCGGCCACCACCGCAGCCGCAGCCGCACACACAACAACAAGAAGAAGCAAAAG